ACAAACACACACATGGAGACCTGAAAGCGTTATGTTGCATTTTACGTAAAAACACGATCAAGCAGTTAGTTTGTGCTTGCAAAAATTTTATAAATCCAGACATCCGAGACATATTTTATAAAATATTCGTTCCTGGATTACAAAAGCCCAAGCCGGGCACCAGACATTATTAAAATAAAATTCGTAAATATGCAGAACGTACAATGGACATTATGTATTCTGATTATGTCTCTTTTTTAGAGAAATACGTGTGTATTGTGTTTGTAGAGATGAATATGAGAGGAAATATTGTCGTTCAGTAATTGACTGACTGTAAATTTTAGGTTTAAATGAATTTTTATTATTGTTACGTTTTTCGTCGGTTCCGTGTGGATAGAAAATCACAATTTATTAAACGCTATTTATTTAACACTAATTAACAAAAACAATAACGATAAAAGACTTATAGAACTATTTACAAACGATTTATAACTAAGAATTTATTTTGAATTTTAGCGCGTCAACTGCACTGGTATATTTATAACTGCCCTCTCTAGGCCACAGCCGCCGGCTTTTATACCTACAGTTAAAGTTTACTAGAATAGTCCATAGATCGTTAGGTGCATAGAGAAGGTTTTCGAATGTTCTCGTATGTACTACTCCATTCCAGTGGGACTCGATCCTTCTCGAATCTTCGAATGAAGCATTGCGGTGTCTATGCGATGTTAAGGTCATCCGAGGGCGGGCCATATTGTTAAAATAAATAAATAATAAATAAATAAATAAATAAATAAATGCCTTTATTGTCAAAAAATTTTTCAATTTGTGGACAAAGGTAAACTAACAAACAAAGTAAAAGAAAACAAGGTACACAAACAAACAAACAAAAGATAATACAAAACATTATACAAATAATATTGTCAGTCTTATTGTTAAAATAAACATATATAAATGTTTACAATGTCAAAGAACAAAAAAATTAAAATAATATTCAAAATATTTAGCCAGTTTATAGCAAAATATCAATGACCTCTAAATAAATTAATTTCGATGTCATTAGTAAATATAGCAATAGCAAACATTAGACCAGTGTTTTCAAGATCAAATTCGATTTTCAATTCAAATATAATTCATTACGGCGTAGAAAGCCTTGTCTAGTAAATAAGAGTTCAATGCTTTGCGAAATGAAAAAAATGATGTTATGGATTTGATTTCAAATGGCAGGTGATTGTGCATTTTTTTCGAGTTGTATAATATTGAACTTTTAACTAACTCTGAGCGTGGGGTAGGTAGATAAAGATCTTGCTCCGCGTTCCTGAGTGGATAAGTGTGAGATGGCCTTTCTTGAGAAGCTGATACATGTTTACGTATTAGGCAAACGGATTCAAATATAAATAAGGAAGGAAGAGTCAATATTTTTAATTCTCTAAAAAAGCCCCGGCAATGAGTTCTGCTGTTTAGTCCCAGTGAATATCGAACAGCTCTCTTCTGGAGCTTGAAAATGCGGTCAAATTGAGCCGCACAACACGTACCCCAGAATGGAAGGGCATACCTGAGGTGCGACTCAAAAAGTGCATAATAAACAGTTCTAGCCACTGACAAGTTAAGCTCCTTAGAAACAGACCTTAATGCAAAACAGGCAGAGCTCAATTTTTTCGACAAAGCTTCGATATGTATGTCCCATTTCAGAGAATTGTCCACAACAAGCCCTAAGAATTTTACGGATTTTACGACGTCAATGGTGGTGTTGTCAAGTACAAAAGGCTGCAACGAGTTTTTATACGACAAAGCCTTAGTTTTAGAAATGTTGAGACTCAGGAGGTTCGAATCGCACCAAGATTTAATGGTGATTAAGTCATTTGATATAATCCTATGAAGTGCCGCGATATCCTTGTTGCTCCAAGTGAAGCTAGTGTCGTCCGCAAAAAGACATATTTTGCCACTGATGTTTATGTTAGCAATGTCGTTAATAAAAAGAAGAAACAAAATAGGGCCTAGTACTGAGCCTTGTGGTACTCCACATTCTATTGGCTTGCTAGAAGACAACGTGGTATCCACCCTCACAAGTTGACTTCTGTTGCTCAGATACGACATAAACCATTCGAGAGATGATCCCCTGAATCCATAGTGCTGCAGTTTATTAATTAGGATCTTATGATTTACACAATCGAACGCCTTAGAAAAATCACAGAAAATTGTTGCTGTAGAATGATGGTTGTTTAGGCTGGAGTAAACTTTATTAAGGAGGGAAAACATAGCGTCATTTGTGGACTTATTGTGCAGGGAAGGTTGTGCTTAGGTGTTAGGTTAGGTCGAGTCCACACCGGTCCGCAACATTATTTTATTTTTGGTGGTACATCGTCGAGAGAAACAGAAAATCGTATGTAATTTTTGAACAGTCCAGATATTGACACCCCTGTTAATTTTACAGCAAAGTTGTAAATATTTTTTTAGAGGTCTGCGTATGCTGAATGCATATGGCCAAATTAGAATAATTTTGGACAAGTTGATTTTAAGTAACTTTAATTTTAGAAAAACTAAATCTATTTTTAAATTAAAACTGAGAAGGTAACAATATGCAAGACCAGTCAAATGCCAACATATCTTAACTTGTCATCCGATAATTTTGTCGCAATGGCCCAGCTACGTCGAAACACGGGTTCCCATTAGAACACCGAAGTTATGCGACGTAAGGCGATTCTAGTGGATGGACGGGTGACCGGTTCGAAACTCTGTATCGTGCTGTTGTCCAAAAAAGACAAAAGTGTAAAATCTATTGACACACACTGCTCATTCACCCCGGTTCGAGGCCGGATGAGATCGGATATCTCGTGAGTAAGAGTCGATTGAGACACTTGTCAAGTCGGTAGGCTATTGACCATGATGTGGCCGAGGACCGCGGTACGGATTCCGCGTAAACAAAGTAGGCCCCGTCCAGATTAGCCCAGGCAGCAAAAAGGAGACGTTAACTGAAATCTTTACTTTATAATTTTGTCAATGTCAAACTGTATTTTGTAAACGTTAGGTTTTTTGCCTCATTCGAACTAGTTTGAAATTGGAAAAATATACAGGGTGAGTTTCCTACGATGTTCTCTATGGGTATCTCGGAAACTACTGGAGATAGACAGTCGGTTAAATAACCGAACGGTCATAAATATGCGCCTTTCAGATTTTTGAAAAAGTTTATGGCTTACTAGATATTTCGAAAAAAAAATTCGGCTATTTTGAAAATTGTCCATAATTCCATTATAATCTATTTTAGACAAAAAGTTTTTAGATAAAAGTTGTAGATAATCACATACCTAATGAGTTTGTGTTTTTTTTTCCGATTTTTTCTAAAGCCTGTCATTTTTGACATATGACACAAACATATGTTTTTTTTTAAACGGAAACCATAGTTGGCCATGACTTCATAAAAGCGCCATTTTTTAAGCTTTTCAGCAATATAAGCTATAATATGCCTTTTTCGAAAAATTACTGAGTTACAGCCAATTCTTATCTTTCTTGACTAATTTCACTTAGTTGGCATGTCATTCTTATTCTGTTATGATTTATAACTTGCAAAGACAGAATATTTTACTAAACGGTTCTTTACAATTTACATTACACAAACTAAAACTTAGAAAAACTAATCACTACATATACTTTAAGTTATTTTAGCAAATGTTCAAAAAAACCGCTATTGGTTTGAGTACATAAAATGCATCTTTTTAAAGCTGTTTCTACAGAACGGCCGGTTAACTTTAATAAACTTCTCCCGTACCGCGCCTCTCTTAATTCATAAGTTCTTTTGTAAACCTTGTTGTTAACCATACCGCATAAAAAAATATAAAATGGATAGGTCAGGTGATCGAGGAGGCCTATGCAATTTGTCCACCTCTTCCTATCCCTGGGTTTGAGTAATTATGATATAAATTTTTTTAACATTTCTTTCATTATGAGGGGGCGTGTCATAATGAAAGTCATGTTGGAACCACTCTATTGATGCGCGAGTAGCTAAATTTAACTTTTCTAAAAAACGTATGTAACCTTTATCGGTCAACGTATCCTCGTAAATGTATGGCCAAAAAAAGTTGAACCAATAATCCTACACGCTATTCTTCATTTGAAGGCGCGGTATACGAATTTTTAAAATTCATAAAGGAACATGCTTCAATAAATGTTTTGAATTTGAAATTTCATAGAGAAAATTATTGCAAATAATATTGTTTCTAATATACCGTATGATCGAAAAAAAAAACGGCGTCAAGTTGGCTTGGAAATAACGATCGATGACATACCACATATAATTTTACATATAAAATGACAGTTAAGACAAATCCTTCAATTTAATTTTATATATAATTTATATCAATATTAATATAATTATATTTATATCAATAAGAAATATATCAATTTACCGAAACGAAATAGTACTTATATATTTTATTTCATTTTTCAAGCAGCCATGTGAACTCAGGTCATTATTTGAGGATTTATTTTTGCTCTTAGTCTTGTCTTTCAATTTATATACTATATATAATCTTTTTAAGCAACTGAAACAATTCCAGACGAAAATAGCTACATTTTCCATTAAATAAAACCGGGATTTTGAAAACAACATATGGTTATAAAAATGTTTGTTTTGAAACGTCACAAAAGTATTAATTTTAGTGACGTGATTGACAATATAAAAAAGTAATTTTAACGCCTAGGCATAAAAGTAAAGCACTTTTACGCCTAAGGATAAAAGTACGAAAATATATTATTAAACTGATATAAAGTGTCAAATTCAACGAGCGTAACCATAGTTTCTCGATATTTAATTACATACAGGGTATGACTTTTAAACCTTTTTATATTATTTGGAACGTTTGAAATTGTTTAAAAACTTATTTGTGGCGTTTGAAAAAAAAAATAGCATGTTCTATTCGGAGTAAAAATGACTTTTTGTGCCTCGGCTGTATGTCGAGTCAAACGTACAGCCTAGCCACAAAAAGTGTCATTTTTACTCCTAATAAAACAATATACTATTTTTATAGGCTAGCATCTAGAAATGACGACATGGATCGGTGTGATAAGTTTTCTAGTAATTCTGTGTTGTTCCTGGTTGCCTGGGTCTCTAGCTACCTATAATGTCGGAGTGGGTAGAGCAGATTGTACAGGACCTACAGCAGAAATTACATTTGTAAGTATAATATAGTTTATCCAATCACAACATCCTTGACAGTGGTAAATGTATCTGCCATTTTAACTTCAAAGTAGTTTATACATCTGTGTTTTTTTCCTGATCGAATGGTCTATTGGATATCAATTTCTGATATTTTATTTTTATTTTTAGATGGGTTATGCCAAACTGACTCAGAAAGGTTGTGGACTACATCTGAGACAATTTGCTAGAGCCTTTATATTTGACGATGGCACCTCTAGGGTGGTTTTTGTGTCTATCGATGCTTGTATGGTGGGCTACAGTTTGAAAAATGCCGTAAGTATCCATGAAACTGATAAGTATATACTATAGCAGAACTGCAACAAGTCGGTTTTAAAAAGATTTAAATCTTAAGTCATGTTACGTTTTAAGAAATATTCAGAAATTATTATTTCAAGGAATTTATTACGAGTAGAAGAAATACTGTGCTGGGTTGGCGTTGGTTTCTATTTAATTTGACAAATAAATAAAGCTGTCTCTTTCGTGTTGATTGCTGATTGATTTGGAGCCAGAAATGGCTCAAAACGAAATAAGTAAATTACCAACAGATATTCAGGCCGAGGCGATAAACGCCATATCCAAACTACTTCCATTTAAATCCCGAATAACTTATGAAAAGGAATACAAACATTTTCAAAAATGGAAGCAATTAAAAAACGTGCGTGAAGAAATACAGTTTTTAACCTATCCTCGCTGTTAAAGTATCATTTAATGTACCCTTGCGGTTAAAGTACTATTTTATCTACTATTTTTGATATATATAAAGCAATTTTAACAGTTGCTATGGAAAAACGTTATTTAAATAAAAAAAAGACTCAAGTTTTTTGTGAGGTGGCAGCTAAGATCTGAGATTATTTCATAGATTCAAAAGAATTACCGCAGCCCGTATTCTATTAATATATTTAGCACACGTAAATAGTACTTTTTAGGAGAAAAAAATTATAAAGTTTTTATTTTACGTGGATCTGTTCACATATACGAGTGGAAACAAAACCACGAATAGTTCCCTTCCGAATATTGTCCGCAACATCCCTTATTTTCCTAAAAACCGCCCCCAAATCGTACTTTGTGCCGGTTTTTCTCAATTTTCTTGTAACCCATTGTTTAAACGTAAGAAATCATAATAATAAATATTGTTGGCAATGAAATTTTACATAAAAACTTTTCTATAACGATTTAACCTATTCCTTACTGTTTTCTCGCAAATATCGTTCAAAGTTAGGGGTAGTTTTTAACAGTCTCTTAAAATATGATTTTAATTGTAACAATTTTACACAATTCAATAGTCTAGAAATATTACCTATGAAAATGAAATAATTAAAATATAATATTAAAATTTTGCAACTACAGAGGCTAATTTATTGCCTAATTTAAGCCCCTTTCCACACCACCCATGAGGTAGAGTTCTTGGCGCGTTGGTGTCCCCAGTAGGCCTAGTCCACTAGCAGCTAGATTTTACTCGTTTCTTTTATCCTCTTCATTTATTATCTCTTCCTGTGGTGCATTTAGGCAACTCTGTCCATGGCAGTTGGAGCACATATTTGAACAACGTAATCCAACTCGTCGACAGCCGCATCGATTACCGCAATCCATTTTACAGCTGCACGATACAAGTTTCAGAATTGAAATTGGTTCCGGCTCCACGGTAGTAAAAACTGGTGATAAAATGTTGCCTAGTTTTTTCTAACCCCACTGTATCGGCTCGATATTATTTCCTTGCCAAGACTGAATTTGGTGAAATACCCGGTAAGAATGTTGTTTTAATGCTGCAGAAGTTGGTGGCAATCTATATAAAATTACAGCATGATTGGAGTTGCCAACTAGTCTATTAAAAGATGTGAATCTGTAGCTATTCAAAGAAGTTTCCGATGATTTAGCTTTATATAAGGCTAGAGTAAATTTCTCACCAGCAGCGCTTTCAATTTAATTTTTTTGTAGATTGAGAATTGTTGAAAATATTAACAACTTCTTCCAAATCCTTTCTCTTGTTTAATAACCCTATTATTTGAGATTTTCTTTTTCCAAAAAAAAGCGGAAGTGGTATCACAACCACATAACCACTTAATAATATTGGATGATTGTAAATGGTGTAAAAGATCTGTAAATTTTGCTCTTTATATTTCCTTGGGCTGGTTTTAAAAACATAATCTCTTTAGCAGGAGGGGCAAGAGCAATAATAAGGGCGAGAATATCTTCATCCTGACCAACTACAACCACAGTGTCATGTTGACTGGATAGATCGATAGCGGTTGTGACGATCAGTAAATCAGCATCGTCTAAAGCAGTAAACGTATAAATATTTTCATCATTCAATCTCTCTACATGTTGAGAAATTAATCGATTCTTGTTAGCTAAATTGCTTAATAATGTCTTCTGTTAGTCGGGCATTGGTATATTTTCATTGAATGCAATTGTAGCCGAGGTTCGTTTCAGAAGTCGTTTTTGTCGTTCATGACTCGTTGTACTACTACTATTTTCAGCGTATCCATCAAACACTAGAGTTACATGATGACCATAATGTTTACGTATAAAGTTAACATAAGCTGAATAAATGTCACGAAATGTATCTTGTTTTGTTTAAACTTTTGCGCAAATTATATAGAACCATTAAGAATTTTTAAACAGACCTTTTAAGTAGGCATATTTTTAAAATTTTTGTGGATATGTTTTTGTTATAAATAATAATAAAATTGCTATTTTTTCTATTTATAAAAAAAATAGTGAAACGGTATCCCAAAACCCTCTTACAAGCTACCACCAGCCTAAAGCATTGATTTCGTACGATGTCTGGGCTAATTACATATTTTAAATAGCATACTACAAACAACCCTTAATTTTAATCGCAATTTACGGAAATTCCATGAGGATTAGCTAAATTACTTAAAGAATAGTTTTTATTTAAAATTTAATTTGCAACAATTTTGATTCTAAGCATTTTTTCGATTTGAATAACGGGTTTCGAGAAAATTGAGAAAAACCGGCATAACCTACGTTTTGGGGGTGGTTTTTAGCAAAATTAGGGATGTTGCGGACAATATTCGGAAGGGAACTTTTTGGGGTTTTGTTTCCACTACTATATGTGAACATATCCACGTAAAATGAAAACTTTATAATTTTTTTCTTCTATTCGATGTTTTTGTGTTTAACTTCCGTGTACTAATTACCAAATATCTCCTTTCGAGGACGTATGAGTCCAGTTTGATCATATCAATCAAATAGTAACACGTAATCTTATCATATCGGTTTTAATTTGTATGCAGCACATGGAAACAAAATGTTAAACTGCAATCGCTGATCGATAAACTTGTTTTTTTTTAGTTTATGAGAACCTAATCTCCAGCCGCCTACAATCTAGACAAAGTCTAATAATAAAAATTGATTTAATGAGTTAGGTTACTATGCCAAAATGTTAATCTAACTTAACGGAAAAATTTGCTTTGGTTCAACACAATTATGGGGAGTTAATATATATCTTTTATCTGCTTGATATATTAAAAAATCGTATTCATCTCTAATAAACGAATACAGACTGTTATAATGTATGCTGTAAATATTTAATTAATGATTATATTTTTAAAGGAGTAGCATTTTTTTTCAGGTGGTTAAAAAGTTGAAAACACTTTATAACGACACCTACACTCACGAAAACTTTATTTTGAGTGGCACTCACACTCATGGTGCTCCTGGTGGCTTTCTAGTTGATGTTTTGTATGACATCACCGAACTGGGATTTTGTGCTGATACCTTCAACGCCTACACCACAGGTATCTTTAATGTAAGTTTTAAAATTAGCTGTTATTGATCAAATAACTTGCAAGTTATTAATGATCTGATAAATATATAAATAGTATCACCAAAATTTGTTCATCAACTTAAATTTACTTAAAAAACATACTAATTTTGGTTGTTCTGGCGAGTTTTTCGTCATATTGGAAAAAAATACGTGATATGGACTATATATGTCACAGATTCAGATAAATCCCTATGTTCTGTCAAAAATCTAGGCCTGTCAAGATCGATATCGAATTGCTCAGGTTTTAATTATCGAATAGCTGGGATTTATGTCCCTTTTTCGTCTGGATGTCTAAAACAAAGCACCATTTAAATGACAAATAACTATGTCTGGCAAATGCAATCAAAAACCTGCAGAGTTATATTACGTTTTGATAAAAAAATATTCTTTTTTCCATAACTTTTTTTAAAAAATTAATACAGGGTTTCCTCGTTTTGCGCGGAGGTTACGTTTACCGCTTAAACAGAAACCGTGTAAATTGAAACAAAAAAATATATACAGGGTGAGTTTCCTACGTTGTTCTCTATGAGTATCTTGGAAACTACTAGAGATAGAGAGTCGGTTAAATGGGGAAAGAATTGCAGTTTTGTGGAGTCATAAATAAGCGCCTTTCAGATTTTTGAAAAAGTTCATGGCTTACTAGATATTAAAAAAAAACAAACTTTAGCTAATAGAATTTTTAGAATTCTTAGCTTTAAAAATGATAGGAATTGGCTATAACTCAGTAACTTAAAAAAAAAACAACATATTATAGCATATATCGCTGAAAAGCTTAAAAGATGGCGCTTTTTAAGAAGCACCAGTTAAAAAAAACATATATATGTTTGTGTCATATGTCAAAAATGACAGACTTTAGAAAAAAATGGAGGACCCAAACTTATTAGGGATTATCTACAACTTTTATATGAAAACTTTTTGCCTAATATATTATAATGGAATTAGGGACAATTTTTAAAATAGCCGAAATTTGTTGTTTTCTAAATATCTAGTAAGACATGAACTTTTTCAAAAATCTAAAAGGTGCATATTTATGACCTCACAAAACTGCAATTCTTTCCTCATTTAACCGATTCCCTACACTGAAAAAAAGGATCTCTCAGTCGAAATGAATATGACTTTGACTCAAAAGATTGAGGCTTTTCAATAGGGCCAAGAACGACGTTTTTTTATCCAAAGTATTAACTATCTTTTCATAAGCTTTAAAAAATTACTTTAGAGAATAGAAGAATCTATCTGTCCAAAGTATTTCACTCTTGACCCAAAATTAATATGGAAAGAAGTTCTTGCTACAAGAACAATAGTCTTTTTGATTCATGCAAAAATTCTTGATTGAAAAGGGACATTTCCTGATTAAAGAGACACTTTTCTTGAACCAATAGCGAATACTATTGACTCAACTAAAATTTATTTTGATCTAAGAGAAGTCTATATATCATATACAGGCATATTACGAGGTATATCATTTTCTGATAAATTTAGGTTTTCCTGGTCTGTAGTAAGTAAAGTGATATTATTTTCCTCGACAGTAGTTATTTCTGCTTCTTCACTGCTTGGTATTTTTTGGGGTGGTTCATCACTCTACAAATTACAAAAAAATGTTACATCACGATTAATCAAAGTAAAGCAAATAAATTATTAAAATTATAAGCTTTGGTAACATTTTGAATTTTTTAATACGACGACTTGAAATTCTAAAATTTTTGTAATTATTTGCATAAAAAAATCGATACCTATATTCTTATTCTATCTATAGTCACGCATGCATTATCTAAACAGGTGCATTAGGTAAATGTCTCTTACCTTCAAATATAGCAAATAAATGCTCTAATTTCTAATTTCCATTTTTTCAGAAACTACTTTAAAGAATCCATATATCCTAAAATTTGTCCATAAAAAATGACAAATGTATGTTAATAACGATCACTAATTTGTTATACGATATGCGTTTAAGAAGCAAATTATGCAAAATTCCAAGCAACAAAACCCGTGCGTACTATGATGTGCGACCTATGAAAAGCGACGTACGATTGATTGTATATACTGTCCTTTGTCATCGTCTTTGCGTGTCGTCATTATTTTTGATCAAAAGAATATTTAGCTATTGGAAAAATTGCCATGTTTCTTGAATGAAGTACTTCCTACCGTATTTTTCTTATTATCTTAAAACAAAGTAACTTGCACTTGGTTGAATGAAAATAGATTCAAGAGAAATTTTCGAATTTTTCAAGAGAACCAGTTTTCTTGAGTTAAGAGAGTTTTTCTTCAGGCAAAATATTTTCTTTTACGCTAAAATAAATTCTCTTCTCAATCTCCAGTAGTTTCGGAGATACCCTTAGAGAACATCGTAGAAAACTCACCCTGTATTAATAAGTTCTATAGAAGATACATAATGTTTATTATGAAGAACAGTTCTACTAAGTTTATACAGGGTGAATCTTAAATATGCGCAAATATTTTCAGGGCTGGTAGATCTCCATAAAAGAAATACATTTTCTCTTCACCGTTTTTCAAATAAGTCCAAAGTAACCGAAATATTTTACTTTCTAAATTTCCAAAAAAATGATTTTCCTTTAAATTTTGTACCTTTTCAGATATACTTACTTTAGTAAATACTTACTATTTGTGTTTATAAATTTTAGGCTATTAAGAAAGCACACGAGAGTCTGGTAGAGTCTCACGTATACATAACATCAGGTGAAGTACACGCCAACATAAACAGAAGCCCAGCTTCATATGATCAAAATCCAGAAGAAGAAAGAAACAAGTATGATTGTATTTTAAACTTATTCACTCAATATTACTATTTAAACTTAATATTTCTTTATTCAACATATATATTTATTATTTTAGCCCTTTCTAACGTTTTGGAGTGATTGATTATTAATTTGTTTCAGATACAAATATAACACTGACAAAACATTGAGGCAATTAAAGATCGTCCGAGCTTCCGACAATGAATTAATCGGTGCAATCAATTGGTACGCTGTTCACGCTGTTTCTATGAATAATAGTAATTGCTTGGTGACATCAGACAATGTCGGATACGCCTCTATATTGTTGGAATCCGAATACAATACAAACAGCGTCATTGGACAGGTAATTTAGCTTTATCGCTATTTTTTCTGCATTTTACCTTTTGGCAGACTTACATTTAGGAGGGTTCAGAAGTCAATCAGTATAAATCAATCAACAATTGCATTGCGATAATGAGGTACATAAAACAGATTTTATAAGCCTTCCAAATTTGGTTTAGATATTTTAATGTTACAAATGTTGTTTTCTGTTAATAATACATTATTAGCTTTTGTATACAGGGTTGTTCACCACATACGACACGGAGTATTGTAGCTAAATTATTAGATTTTTACAAATTGTAAGTTTTGAGTTCGTTGAAGGGCTATTAGAGCTACAATTTAAAAATATTTTTACAAGATACAGAGTGTCCCAAATAAATAAAAATATTAAAGTTGTATTTTTTAATGGAACACCCTGTATATTATTACATTTTTAGTTTCTACGATTAAAATAAAGGTAAATTTGATTAAGGTTTATTACACTTAAACCTCACCATTTTTGAAATATTTTCAATTTTATGAAATTGCAGTAAAAATTTAAAGGTTTCATTTCTCCAAGGGTACCAAAGTTTTTAATACTAAATATTTACTGAAGTCCAATTATTGATCAGTTATTGTGTTGCAATACTAAAAATAATACTACCTCGTACAGAGTGCCTAAAAAGTTATTTTAAATTATTTCTAGCTTTAAACGGCAATAACTTGTTTAATTTAAATAGAACGCCCTGTATATTTTAGGATAATCAGATGCACAATTTAATTGTCTATCAAATTGTATTATACCACTTTTTACCTATCCTTGCAAGTTTTCGTAGAAAATGCATTTTCTTATAATTTAGACCTCATTTATCAATATACCCATGGAATATTGACATTTTAGATTGTTTTTAAAGCAACAAATGTACAAAATGTACATGCTAGTAATATTATCGTTTTTAGCAAAATGATAATATTACTAGCCCGTTTATATGCAAAAAGGAAACTATTTAAATCTTTTTAAAAGAGTATACCATTAATTAAATATACCACCATTATTTCCACCATAATACTAATTAATTACATACTTAATTATGTTCGTTAATAAATTATTCTAAATAAATGTGGATTTGAATCCGAAATCAATATAATAATAAGTTATGAAAATGAATGTCTCTGTTATTATAAATAAACATTTGTCAATAAATGAAATAACATTTTTAAGGTGTTACTTTTTACTACACTGTCTAATGCACATACAAAATTCAGTTTTTTAGTATTTGGAGCAATTATTATTAATCAACGCAAACAGTCAATTAATGTAGTTTGAATACTGGCATCATATTAATTGGTCCTCTTTAACCTTCCTTTTTATTAATTTAAACATTTTTATTTTTTTAATGAAATAAACAAGCTATATCGACAATATTAGTATCTGTACTCTTTAAAAATTTGGTACATCTTTAAAAATAATCTTAAATGTCTTTTTATTACAAGAAAAATTACAAGAAAATGCATTTTCTACGGAAACTTGAAGAGATAGGTAAAAATAGTATAAAACAATTTGATAGACAATTAAATTGTGCATCTGATTCTCATAAAATATACAGGGTGTTCCATTTAAATTAAACAAGTTACTGGCGTTTAAAGCTAGTAATTATTTAAAATAAAATTTTAGACACTCTGTATAAGGTAGTATAATTTTTATTATTGCAGCACAACAACTGATCAATAAATAAACTTCAGTAAATATTTAGTATTAAAAACTTCGACACCCTTGGAGAAATGAAGCCTTAAAATTTTGAGATGCAATTTCACAAAATTGAAAATATTTCAAAAGCGGTAAGGTATAAGTGTAATAAACCTTAATAAAATTTACCTTTATTTCAATCGTAGAACCTAAAAATGTAATAATATATAGGGTGTTCCATTTAAAAAAATACAACTTTGATATTTTTTATTTATTTGGGACACTAAATTGTAGCTCTAATAGTCCTTCAACGAACCCAAAACTTACAATTTGTAAAAATCTAATCGTTTAGCTACAATATTCCGTGTCGTATGTGGTGAACAACCCTGTATTCAAATTAACTTTTGCTTTTTAAACTTTATTATATCAATGGAATTGTTGACTTAAGGTTGTCGCCCACTAGACCGCGGCGCGACACAGCGCGGCGCCATGTGGAAATTTCTTTTGTCTGCTTGCCATGTATTTAAATGTACCAACGCACATTAGAGCGCGCAGCGCAGAAGCGCGCCGCGGGATTTCCGTCAAGAAGTCGGAAGACTTCTCTAGCAACTTTTTTCCGTCTCCCGCGTTTCGGCGCGTTGCAGTGTGCGTACTCACAAGGGAAATAATTTTGCATTCGAGTCTTTTCAGTTGGCTTTTTGACTAGGAACTAGTGATACGTATCAATGGCAGAATTGTATTTTTAAAGGTAAATTAGGAAAATCGATTTTCATAAAGGAATATGATATTTTTTTTAGTCTTCCCTCACTAGAGACAGATGGACGAAATGCCTTTCTATCAAAGATTTAATATAATTGAGGGGTGTAGAACCGGCAATCACCACTTTTTAACAAAAGTGACAATCTCCAATTTTTAAATTCTAATTACCTAAATATATAAAAAAGATCAGGGTTTTTTTGACCACATAACTAACATACACATCAGAATAAATAAGAATTATCAAAAATATTAGTAATTTGTCTCTTCTGAAAAAATATGATGAGTAGATATACCCGGTGTTTTTTCTTCTAAAACCCTCAATTGAGGAGTGCGTAAAATGTTTCCTTTATATTTTGTAATACTGAAAAAAATGATTTTGTCTTTTATTAAATCTGGAAAAAGATGGTAAAACTTTCCAAACTTCTTTCTTTTTTTGTTAATCGTATGAGTCCAAACTTTTCCTCATCCCCTCTTCCTCTTTCTCTGTTAGAAGAGCACAAAAAATACGCTTTCGTCCGTACTTGAACTCATTGCTTTAAAAACTAAACTACAGTAAGTAAAAAACACTTCAACTATAACTAAATAGCGTTGCCGCGTTTCAAAAGCGCGCTATAGTGGGTGCAGTCCCTTCGCAGCCGGAAAAAATTCTCTTCCCAGCGCCGCGCCGCGCAGCGGTCTAGTGGGCGACAACCTTTAAGGTTGTCGCCCACTAGACCGCGGCGCGGCGCCATGTGGAAATTTCTTTTGTCTGCTTGCCATGTATTTAAATGGACCAACGCACATTAGAGCGCGCAGCGCAGAAGCGCGCCGGGGGATTTCCGTCAAGAAGTCGGAAGACTTCTCTAGCAACTTTTTTCCGTCTCGCGCGTTTCGGCGCGTTGCAGTGTGCGTACTCACAAGGGAAATAATTTTGCATTCGAGTCTTTTCAGTTGGCTTTTTGACTAGGAACTAGTGATACGTATCACTGGTAGAATTGTATTTTTAAAGGTAAATTAGGCAAATCTATTTTCATAAAGGAATATGATAATTTTTATTTATAGTCTTCCCTCACTAGAGACAGATGGACGAAATGCCTTTCTATCAAAGATTTAATATAATTGAGGGGTGTAGAGGCAAAACCGGCAATCTCCACTTTTTAACAAAAGTGACAATCTCCAATTTTTAAATTCTAATTACCTAAATATATAAAAAAGATCAGAATAAATAAGAATTATCAAAAGTATTAGTAATTTGTCTTTTCTGAAAAAATATGATGAGTAGAGATACTCGGTGTTTTGCTTCTAAAACCCTCAATTGAGGACTGCGTAAAATGTTTCCTTTATATTTTGTAATACTGAAAAAAATGATCTTGTCTTTTATTAAATCTGGAAAAAGATGGTAAAATTCTCCAAACTTCTTTCTTTTTTTGTTAATCGTATGAGTCCAAACTTTTCCTCACCCCCTCTTCCACTTCCTCTGTTAGAAGAGCACAAAAAATACGCTTTCGTCCGTACTTGAACTCATTGTTTTAAAAACTAAACTACAGTAAGTAAAAAACACTTTGACTATAACTAAATAGCGTTGCCGCGTTTCAAAAGCGCGCTATAGTGGGCGCAGTTCCTTCGCAGCCGGAAAAAATTCTCTTCCCAGCGCCGCGCCGCGCAGCGGTCTAGTGGGCGACAACCTTTACGCTGATTGGCTTCTCAACCATCTATTTAACAATGATTGACGGAAAACGGCGCTTGTGGGTCTTCAAATATCCCTTGACCGAAAAAAAAATGGCGTCAAAGGGGACTGGGGAATGACAATCGATGATAATTTTGTTCTCGTCAATCTCTGGTCATTTACTAAAAACTGACATAAAACTTGTTAAAAATTAACCGTAATTATAGAAAGATTAAAAGAGGATAGAACGTCTCCGGACACAAATCATTTCCAGCAATCCCCACCATGTTGTATGGAAGCGAAATCTGAGTGCCCTACCGCCAGCACATGAACGCATTAAACAAGTTGCAACAGAGACGCCTTAGACAACTCTTAAGAATCAAATAGTTTCACCATGCCTCATCCTATAATCCTAATTACTAAATCCCGTTTAAGATGGTCTTGTCACGTACGCAGGATGCAAGAAAACCGCCTACCAAAATCTCTTCTTTACGGCGAGCTTGTAGACGGTAACAGGAAACAGTGTTGACAACTCAAAAGGTACAAGGATATTTTTCACGAAAAATTAAAGGGGATAAGCTTGCGCACAATGAAGAAGAATTGTAAACTCTGTTAACAGCTACAATCAAAAAGTAAAGAGTCAACAAACTAATAAGATTTTTGAATGTCCGGAGTGGTGCGGAAGAGAGATAACATCACGTATCGGGCTTTTCAGTCACAGAAAAGCTCATGAAAGAAAACGCTTTGCATAACCATCTTCTGATGCGTGTTAAATACTCGTCAGCGACTAATGGCAGTAGTAGTAATCAACAAATCCTAATCAATAAATCTTAAATAGTTACCAAATTGACCTGTCCAAAAAATTACTAAAACATAAATAAGCTTCCTAATTTAAATTTCAAATCTTAATTTTATGGACCAGAACTAGGTCAGTTGAAAAATACAGTCAATA